TGAAGTCTCTCTACTACTATTGATTTTCAATCATTTTCCTTTAGCTTATTAATTAATTGTTTGTGGTGAGATAGAATAATTGTTTGTCGTTTATTCAAGTAATAACGAACGTCTCACGACGCTTACAGCGATGTCGTCTACCCCACCCCCGGCTACAGAAGTGGGTTGTAACGGTGAGAGCTTGTCAACTACAACACCAATCAATCATGCCATTCCAAACGATGAGTTTTAAAGTTACTTTTCCCACATTGGGGCTCTATGGGATTCTAAAATTTTCTAATGATGTAATTTGATTTATTTATTTATGGTTAACTTATTTGAATTTGTCGTAGCTAAGAGGGGAAGGAATAATTACTGTTTATATTACTACGTAGTACGTAGGGAGAGGACAGAACCAATTAGCTGCATGGTAACTAGCTAGTTGTATTAATTTGTCTAAATACAATATTAGTATAAATAGAGCTTCTTGGTTCAGTGGGCAATGGGTCTTTTTAATGTTTCTTTTCTTCATTCTTCTGACTATTCTGACGATGGGTGCAATTTGGTATTTGTTCTTCCAGTCCAGTTAAAATGCGGACGTATGCCACAACGAAGAAAATATGTAATCCAGAGGGGCAATACCGTCATATATGAATAGTATATTAAAAAACACAGAATGCGCCTATACTAGGTTTTAATATAAATAGTATAGCCGCGCGGCTTTACTGGGGCCATTTGTTTATAAATATTTGTTTCCTTACAGATACTGTGATCCTTTTTGGTTAATTGTTTTTTGCCAATTTTTTGTTTATTAATAAGGGTAGTTTAGAGCATTATTCTTTACTTAGGCCATTATATGAGTTTCTATTGTCCCCTTTGAGTTTTTACTTTTCCAAAGCTATTACCTGTATAAATAATTTAGTATTTTCACATTTTATACTCGTATTGTATATATACGTATTTATTTTTCATGTTTAATACACTTGGTTTTTACAAAATTTTCAATTATACACACAAAATTCACTTGTTATACACATAATTTTCACATGTTATTAAATAAAAATATTATATATTACAAATTTAAATAAATTATATTAAAATATTGTATAGTGACCGAGCTTATCAGTTGTAATTTGCCAAAATATTGCCGAATAAAAGATGTACGTATTTTATTCATAATGAAAGAATGTGAGAGGCTAAGATTATTTTTTATTTTTTGTAACAACAATTTCAAACAAAAATTTATAGATATTCCCTCTTCGTATTTTACTAACGAAAATGTGAGATATTGCGTCCTAACACTTAACGGGACAAAACCAATCAGCTGATGATTAACGTTGATTGATACTACTGTTACTGTAGAAACTTTGATTAAACAATTGCAACCAATATATTATATACTAATTAATGAATACTCTTGGGGAAGAACTGAAGTCGAAGATCCTGCATGCCCATCTCCCTCTTTCTTGATTAGTAAAGATTAACTGGTCTTAAATTTGGGCTTCATATATATCATTCCAGAATAATATTAATAATGA